TAAGGGCCTTTTCACCAGGCATTCGTGGTGGTGCCAAGCCAACAGTGTATTGGTACCATGTATTGCAATGAAAACATACATAATGGAGTACCAAAAGTGTATTTTACAGTCCGGTGGTCAGCCACTGGGTTGGCCGTGGCATTGCAGAGCCTCAGTGGGAGGGACCGTTTGGCCACCCCAGGACGCAGGGCCTGGTGCCTCCCATGGCCTCTTGGCCAGTCGGTCAGTGTGGTGTTTGGCCTCAGATCATCAGTAGGAATATCAGGGAGCAAGTAGTGACCCCAGAACACTCCTTGGAAGCTTTTTTTCCTTGTCTTTTTTCCAAATAAACCCAATACAAGATTATTTTCATTTGTCCTTCACCCCAGAAGCTGAATTCCAAAATAGAACCAAAAAACCTCAATGTCATTAAGTCCATCCTGGCTCACAGCGCCCCTGGAGGACAGAGTGGAACTGTCCACAGGGTCCCCAAGGCTGTCAATCTTAATGGAAGCAAAGCCCAAAACACACTTGCTGCCGTGGAGTCCATTCCAACTCACAGTGCCCTAGAGGACAGAAGAGAACTGCCCCATAAGGTCTCCAAGGCTGTCAGTCTTCGTGGAAGCTGACTGCCTCATCTTTCTCCCATGGAGCAGAGTGGCTAGTATGTTTGAGCTGATGACCTTTTGGTTAGCAGCCCAGTGCTTTAAGCACAGCGCCCCTAGAGCTTCTAATTCAAGAATGACTCTGGGCTATTCTGGGGTGTCCGGCATCACGGTTCTGCTGTGGGAGAAGGAGGGGAGTCTCCAACTGTTGTTGTGGACTTTCCCTCCCTGTTAACAGCTTTCCGAAGCCAGACTTCCTTACATTAATTGTGTGTGCTGTCGAGTCTTTCCTAGCTCACAGCAGCCCCATGTGACAGAGACAACTGCACCGCGCCCTAGGGTTTCCTTGGCTGACATCTTTATGGGACCAGCCTGCCAGGTCTTTCTTCCGCAGAGCCGGCCACAGGGCAAGTTGAACCGCTGACCTTCAGATTAGCAGTGTGTAAGTGTTGCTCCCCCAGGGCCCCTTTCTTCATGTAATAGAGCCAGTCTTAGAATATCTGTGATGTTGAGATGGCCCCGCATGTCCTGTAAAGGCCATAAATGTGCCATTTCCTTGGGTTTAGCAGTAGGACTATGGCGTGTGGATAATTGCCCCCGTCACGCAGGACAGTCCCAGTGTGACTGAACACTTGGGCTCAGCTCCAACGTCCAGCTCAGGGAGCAGCCCAGAGGCCTGTCTTCACTGCCAGGAAGGTCTGTTTACTCAGGGCCTTACCTACGCAGGCCCCGGGCAGGTCTACGGGCGGCATCGTGAAGCCCTTCACCTCCACCTCAAGGGTGTGGCTCTCCCTGCTGGGCACTCAGCCCCTGTGCAAACAAATCTGCGGGGCCGCAGCAACACGGGGCTCTGTTTGGGTTGGCACCCTCAGCTGAGTGAGCGAGGCCACCCACTTGGGAGACTGGAGCCCACGGTGGCCACAGCTGCCAAGATGCATGCTGGTAAACTCTCGATCACACCCTGGGAGGAGAGCTAGGTGGAGGGGTCTGCTCTGCATCTGAGGGCACCGGCCAGCAGTGGCACTGGAGCTGGTGTCACTGCCCCCCACCCCTGGCAACTTCCTGCAATAGACCAGATAGAATCCTTGATAATGATTGATCTTAGTCATAGAATCAGACAGTGGCATTGTAGGCTTGGGGTCACCCCCCTCCCCAGCCACCTCCCACACCAGACCATACAGAATGCTTAGTCACATGTGGTGTTCGTTTTGATCATAGGGTGGTCGGGGATGTAGTTGGACGTTGCTGGGATGTATTTCTTAGATTGTATGAACACTACCAAATTGTTGCCTAAAATCTTGCTGCATTGCATTACGTTTGTTGCAGCTTTGACAGTGACTGAGCAGAAGCCTTTTTTGCTTTTGCTTTGCTACTTCATTCTCAATAAGTGATAGACACAGGTTCATCGCCACAGTATTGTCACTCAGACACCAGAATATTTTGACAGAATCAGCAACTGTAAAAACAGCAGCCACAGTGGAAGCAGGTGTGGTCTTGTTATAGTAACGACAGGTGGTTTTATCTATTATAATAATAACGAGTTTCTGCTGGAACAAAGCACAAACATTTTATGGACAGTCATTTTGGTGTCACCCCCTGACAGTGTCACCGGGTGTAGTCCACACCCCCCAGTGACACCACACGTACCGGCTTTCCAACCTCGTGTCTCCTCCTCTTTAGACTTCCCCAGTTCTTGTTCCTCAGACAGACAGTGGAACAGAGCAGAGAGCTCGGGGGTTAAAGGTCGGGGCGAACTGGACCAGAAGCCCAGCTCCAGCAGCTCTTCACCTTTTCTGGACCCGTTTCCTTAAAGACGATGTCTTTAGGTGCCATCAGGTTGGTTTTCGACACCGAGGGACCCCGCGTGACAGGAGAGCTGCTCCACAGCGTCGTCCTGGCTGTCACTTCACTGGGACAGATCACCAGCTCTTTCCTCCTGTGCAGCCACCGGGTGGATTCAAACCACCAACCAAATGGCTGGTGGCTGAGCGCTTCGCCGTTGTGCCACCAGGGCTCTGATGCCGACTCGGGGATGACATCCCTGTGCAGTGTTGTTCTGGGAAGATGGGATCTGTATAAAGAACTCCCCCTACAGGGATCCCTCAGAAGGTGGGCTGTCTTTCCCAGGAGATAGGACTGTGTGGCCCTAGCATGCTGGGCGGTCCCGCCCTCCCAAGGCCTGGCTGCTGCCTGTGGCCTGGAGCGTGGGCGCCTGTACAGCGGCCGTCAAGTGGGGCTCCCTCGGCCATCATCTGCGGGACCACATCACCAGGCCTTCCCCTGCGGCCCTTCCTGAACAGCTGAGCCCCCCACACCGTGCCTCGGGGCTCCCTGGAGTGCGGCAGCGCCCCTTTAACCATGCGAGTCCAAGTCTGGACTTGCAGACCAGTGGCTGAGCCACTAGGGGACGTGGTGTCACAGAATATGCTGGCTCCAGTGTCCCAGGAGGTGGGGTCAATGGGGCAACACCTCACCAGGGTCCTGGAAACGCGGGGCAGATGGAGGGCTTGTGGGCTGACCCCCTTTCCTCTCCTACCCAGGCTGGAATCTGGTGCATTTGTACTGAGTTATCTTCTCCCTCATCTCACGAGGAAATTGGGCTTTGGGGAGGAATGGGGCAGAAAATGAGAGAGGAAAAATCGGGGTGCTAGAAGAAGGGGTACCTCTCCTTAGCCAGGGCTCCCCACCCCTAATCAGAGCATAGTTTTTCATGTGTACACATATGTGTGCATACATGTGTGTGTGTGCATGACTGGGTGTGTGCACATGGGTGTTTAAGGCATGTACAAGGTACGTTCCCCTGGTCACACACCAACACAACACAGATGAGGCTGTGACCCTAAAACACTTGTCAGCTCCATCCAAGCCGCTTGGTCTTACCCAAATGTGTGCTGCCCATTGTCAAGCTAGGGGAGCTGTTCTTACGAGTCCTGGGGACCTTGCCAGAGAAAAAGAGAGTGCAGTGACCCAGACCCCACACGGTCACCAAACCACGTGGGCCTTGCTCCTGAGAGTCAGTCTGCAGGTAGCTGCCAGCTCTCTCGGGGCTTGGCTGGCACACGCCCAGGGGGGATTCCCAGGCTCGTGAACTGCGGTCATACAGGAGGGAGCACGTCCCTTCCCTGCCTGCCCTGGTCCCCTCCGTGACAGTCTCAGCCACCGTCACAGGCCGAGACTGGAGTCATCCTCGAGTAGAAGGCAGCACCTCTGATCTCTGCTCCTGAAGTTCTCAGAACCGGCCTCCCCGCACCCAGCAGCCCCTCAGTGGAACAGAACTGCCCCAGAGAGCTTCCCAGGCTGTCGTGTTATCGGAGCACACGGCCAGGCCTTTTCCCCCAAAGAGCCACTGCTGGGTGGGTTCGAACCGGCAACCTTTCAGCTGGCAGCCATGCGCTTCGACCATTGCACCCCAGGGCTCCTGGGGCACACAACGGAGCTTTGCATGCATGATGTGAAACGTGACGACACTGAGGCAGGAAAGGAACCCCCAGTCGCGGACGGCTACACTCACACCCCGTCAGCAGCTGAGAGGCCGGCTTCATCAGGGGAGGCCCCGGTGACCAGAGCACCCCAGCCCCACCTCGACCTGCCTGAGCTCCTCCCCAGAACCGAGTGTTTCTGCCCCCACAAGTCCCAGCAGGCAGCGGCCTCAGGAGTGAGAAGGGCCCATGTCTCGTGGCCCCGTCAGCCCCGGCAACGTGCTAGGAAACCGGGGAGCCTCACACAGCCCAGGCTGTCACCAGAGCAGGTCGAACTGACTCTGACTCACGGCACCCCATGTGTCACCTGGGATCCACGGGGCGTCGGGCTGGTTCTTCATGAGTAGACAGTAGGCCTGTCTTCTAGGAGCCCTGGCTGGACACAACCTCCAGCCGGGCGCTTAGCTGCCTGCCCCACACAGGGCCTGCTGGCCACCGAGATGCCTGGCGTGACATCCGTGGGCTTGAAATGCTGCGGGCACTGTAGCTGGGGGGCTCGTCCACAGACAGCCAGCCCCTCCCCAAGCTGAGAGCCCACCTAGGCTGAGGAAGCCAAGAGCTGGCCACCGAGCCGGGTGCCGGGTCCCTCCTGCCCGTGAGCCCCGAGCTGTAACGATGACAGGCCCAGAGCCCAACGGGGGCCAGAAAGAGCCACCCTGCTCCCCTGCCACTGCAGGCTGGGTGGGGGCTCTGTACCGTCGTGGGGAGCCCCGGAGGGCGGGGTGCATTGGTGGGGGCTGTGCTCCCGAGACCCAGCAGGCCAGCTGCAGGCTGTGGTCTGGGCCTCAGAGGCGGTGGGAGGGATGGCGTCACCAGCTTCTCTTGAGGAGGGGTCCCTGAGTCCCTAGGGCTCCGCCGGGCCCTTGTCACTGAACCGTGATGATCAGTCAGCGTCAGGACTCAGCTCCTTGGGCATTGGACACACGGCCTGGCTGGGCTAATCGTCCCCTTGCGTCCAGCGGCAGGGGGGCAACTCCGCCTTGGCCAGCTTCCGCGAGCCCAGCTTCCTCCTCCAGGCTGACAGCGCGTCCCCCAGGGCCCGCCGCAGTCCCCCGCAGTCCTGGCCGCCAGGCAAGGCCTGTCGTGGGGCTGGGAGCTGCCCAGAGAACAGCTCCCACTGAGCCAGTTCGTCCACGGCCCCATCCAGCCGCGCCAGCTCCTCCTCGGTCACCTCCCTCTCCAGGGCCCTGATGCAGGCTGTCAGCCACAGCCCCTGCTCCCGGAGGGCCTCCGTGGGCAGGCCGTCCAGGTCCACCGGGGGGCTCGGGCCCTCCGAGGGCTCCAGCTCGGGGCCGCTCCCGTCGGGCGTCAGGGGCTCCAACAGGCTGCTGAGGGCCTCTGGGTCATTGTCGCTGCCCAGCCCCGAGTCGGCACTGCGGGGCAGCGTGTTCTCTGACTCTGACTGCTCGGCCGCCTCCCAGTGGGGCCAGGTCCCTGCCGCGGCCTGGGTCCAGGCATAGAGCTCCTGGAGGGAGAGAGAGGTTGAGGCGCCAGGGAGCTGCCCAAGGACCGGCCCCTCACTTAAGGGGACCCCACTGTCCTCAGCAACCCAGGGGCAGGTGTCAGGTGAGTGACAGGTGAGTCTCCCGGCCTGTTCCAGCTCACGGTGGAAGGCAACTAGTAGTCAGTGTTCAGCTGCCTGTACCCCACACCTGAGTAACGATTACACCCAGAACCAGGGGACAGGTGTCCTGGTAACTGTCACCATGCCTTACTGTGACCTCTGCTCCTAGAAGCCCTTCCCGGTTCCAGCTGGGGTGTGGCTGTGCCCTGTCCCCACTCTGCCTGCAGCGGTGTCACGGGGAGCATTTACGTCACAGCAGTGGGCTTCCTCAGGGAGCAGGGCAGACGCCTGCGAGGCTGCTTGGGGGTGTCCTGGTGACCAGGGACGGGCTCGATGGCCAGAGACCGGGCCACAGCCTCACCTCTCCCCTCCTACTACAGCCGCTCCCCAGAGCCCGCCCCTGGGTCTCGTCCCCTCTGTCTCCTCCTCCCACCGTGTCCCCTCCCCCATCTCTGTCCTCTCTCCTCCTCCCCGTCCTCTGCCCCCTCTGTCTCCCCTCTGCCCGTGTCCTCTCCCTTCTCTGTATGTCCCCTGCCCTGGGGACTGGAAAGTCTCCTCCTGGTCCTCTTCCCCAGAAAGCCCTGCCCAGGCCCCCGGAACGATGCTCCCAGGGGAGGAAGGGTTCAGGCCTGACCGTGGGGAGGGGTGCACTTGGGCGGTGCAGACGGGGGTACGCTCAGCCGCTAACGAAAGGCTGGCGCTCCGAGGCCAGCTCCAGGTGCCTCGGTGGGAAGGCCTGTGAGCTCCTCCCCTGAAATCAGCCTTCGAAAACCCCACGGAGCACAGCTCTGGGAGCTTCCCGGGAGTTGGGCTGGGCTTGAGGCCGGCAGGCACAGCTCCTGCATCAGGAGCCGGGAGTGCGTGCAGGCGCGTCCGTGAGACAGACAGAAAGAAGGGGTATAGACTCATCAAAGTGCGCGGCAGAACTCATGGAGCGAGACGGATGGTTATGGACGGGGAATCCCACAGGAGAGTAAGGATGTGGGCCAGGGCTGGCCTCTGACTCCCAGGACACAGCCACAGAAGGGGACACCAACGCCACACTCACTGCTGTGCGGTGACCTCATGCCAGAACAGACGGGCACTCCACGGGGACGAGGACAGCTGCTCAGAAGCCAGTCCTTACTACGTGCCTGACCCTACACTCATGGCCGAACCCCGGCCTCGGTGGGAAAGCTCCAGAAATGGGCACAGTGTGTGCAGGGCTGTGCCCGCCCCCCGTGTCCAGCCAGAAGACACACCCACCCACCATCCACATTTCTGTGCGTTTTTTCTGTAAAACTCCAAAAAACGTGCTGCTGAGTGGCTCCCGGGTCCTACTGCCCCGTGGGGTTTTCGAGGCTGGAATCTTTACGGGAGCAGGTCACCGGCTCTTTCTCCCACGGAGCCACTGGGTGGGTTCAAACCACCAACCTCTGGTTAGCAGCCAAGCTTAACCCTTGCACTACCAGCCACTACCAGCGCAGTCCTTGCCTTAATAAAACAAAATCTATTACAGAAATTTAAGCCAAAGCAGTTTGAAAACTCTGGTCTAACTCGGTCTATTCATCCAGAGGTGGGTGTAGAGGAAATATAAGCGCCTTTGAACCCTGAGCTCAGGGTAAGGTTTCCGAGTTTGTAAAGAACTCTTCCTAAGTCTTTCCTTTCTTCGCTGGGGGCAGGGCGACCAGCTCCCCGGACTGCCAGCTGGCACCACTGCCCCCTGCCAGGCAATTCCCCACAAAGACAGCAGAGGGCAGCATCGCCACACTGTTCAGCCCCAAGGCACAGGGCTCCTCTGTGGCAAGACAAATGCTACTTTGTGTAAAGCGAGCCTGCTGGGCGGCAGGGACCCGTTCATGGCAGGCAAGGCGTTCATGGCAGGCAAGGCGAAGCGAGCAGGGACGCCGCACGGCAGCCGCGCCAGGCCAGCGTGGGCGGCTACAGGCTCTGTGCTTAGAACCACGTCTGGCCGCCCTCCAGTGCTCAGTACCCACGGGCTGTCAGCACCTGACACTTAACAGACCTTGTTTTTTAGAGTAGTTTGGTGGTTGCTCCGTTCCATCCATACGACCAAGTAGCCCCATAGGGGTTCCTAGGCTGTAGTCTTGATGGGAGCACGCCGCCGGGTCGCCTTCTCCTGCGGAGCCGCTGGGCCGGTTTGAACCGGATTGGCTGGTCAGCAGCTGGGGGCCTAACCACTGCGGCACCAGGGCTCCTGGTGCACTTCCACAGTTACAGAAAGCGCAGGCAGAAAGTCCCGGGAGTCCCCACGCGTCCCTGTGCCCTGCGCCTCTTTCTCCTGTGATTCACATCCCCCCGCTGGCTGCTAATAAGGTCAGCGGTTTAAACCCCCAGCCGCTCTGCGGAGGGAAGACGCGGCGACCTGCTTCCATAAGGACTGACAGCCTCGGAAACGCAGTGGGGTCGCCATGAGTGGACTCAACGACCGTGGGTCTGGTTTGGGTTTTCGGTCCTGTGGCTGACGCTAATACACAATCCTAACCGAAGCCCTGGGTTACATCAAGGAAACACCGGTGGCCTGGGGGGTCCACCCAGCTCCCGCCGCCCCGCGAGTCGGAGCAGCACTGTGCTCCGTGTGGTTTCAACGGCTGAGTTTCCGCAGTCGGTCACCGGGCCTTTCTTCCAAGGTGCCGCTGGGTGGATGCAAACCTCCGACCTTTGGGTTAGCAGCTGAGCATGTTCAGAGGGTCTCCTGAGGGCACGGGGGGGGGGGGGGGGCGGCGTTTCCCCCTAGAGCCCACCACGTTCCAAAAGGCAACTGTCCAGTGTGACGCTGGGGGCTTGGTGTGAGTGGGGAGCCTTGAAAGGAACCTAGCTTTCTCTTCCTGGCTGCCTTGCTTGTCCTTCCATGCTCCTGCATGCAGGCAGCTGGTGTGTCCCTCCATCACACTGAGGGTGCTAAGTGACCACATAAGATGAGCAACTGCAAACAGAGCCCTGGGCCAGGGACAGCTGGCAGGAAGTTGATGAGCACCAAGCACTTCCTGTTTCCAGGCCTCCCCTCCCTCCTGTGCCTACCTGCCTCCAGTCTCTTCCTTGCTCCCTGGCAGCCGCCATCCCTGTGGATTAAGGATGGGGCTGCAGGATGGTCAGTGTTCTGTGTCCACGGGGCTAGGCTGTGATTCCCAATGATCTGGGCAGGTGCTGGAGTGGATGTCTCCATAATGTAATATGTAATCACCTCCCACCATGTGATCTGATGCAAGCAGCCAATCAGTCAAAGGGGAGTGTCCTTGGGGGTGTGGCCTGCTTCCAGTATATAAATGGATATGCACTCACCTTGTACCTGTCAAGGAGCTGGAAGCCCAGGAGGTGTTGCAGCTTCCGTAGGCAGATGGGGCAGAGGTCAGGGGGCCGCCGCAGGACCTCGTCCAGGCTGAGCGCACCCTGCATAATGCAGCCCAGCCAGCGGCAGCTCCCCAGGCCCAGGAGGTGGCACAGCTCATGACACGTGACCTGGGACAAGACCAGCACTGCCCTTGCAGCCTTGACCCCAGACCACGCAGCCCACACTTGAGACCCTCACAGCCTGGGAGATGAACAGCCTCAGGCTGAGGGGCTGGGTAGTTGAGAGTTATCAGAGTGCCCCCCAGCCTAGCCCCAGGCCACTCAGGGTGCAAACAACAACGTCTCTTACACACCAGCCATGCCCGAGGCCCACATGTGGCAAAGGGGTAACTCTGGGGCCCACTCTGAGAACTGCATTGGGGGGGGAGGGGCTTTGAGGTTCAATGCATGTGGGTCCAGACCTCAGCTCTGTCACTCAGCTGTTCCATGGCTTCAGGCAAAGGATTCAGCAGCCTGAGCCTCAGTTTCCTTGTGGAATGAAGGGCTCTCCTTGAGGAGAGGAAGGACGAAATGAGGCTGTAACTTACTTGATGCTGGGGGTGCACCCAGTACCAGCTCTTTCCCCCATCCATATTTCCCTGAGCTTAGTGGACCCCCAGCCCTGTCCTCCACTTCCTGTCTCCCAACTTTTCCAGTTATTGTCTACAAAGTGGGCTCCCCTGCCTGGCCACTCGGTAACACCTGCCACACTCACCTGGCAGCACAGGGCCATCCCCAGGGTGCTGAAGCTCTGTGTCTGGACTCTTGGCTGCACAGGGACTTTGGGGTCACCTGCAGCCACCTCTGCCTGGACGGGGTCCGAGGTGCCGGGCTCTGGCCACAGGAACTCCCCTGAGAACCGGGTGAAGCTGCAGACACCCACCTCTGGGAGGAGGTAGAGGGCAAGGGGCCAAGGTCAAACCCACCCCTTCTCGGCCCGCCTAGGCACAGATGCCCACGTGGGTCTGCCCCAGGGGAAATGGCTACTGCCCAAAAGGAACATGGGGCCAGCAGTTTGGAGGGGCTGTCCTGATGTACACGTCAGCTTTCTTCTAGTGGAGCAGGGTGTGAAGGTGACAGGGTGACCTCTGCTTGGACTGACTGGGGCCCACAGGGTCCCCAAGCCTGGGCTGAGGGGGCCAGCGAGCATCCTCCCACAGGCGGCACTGGCTCACCGTGCCCAGGGAAGGACTTGCTGAATGTGAAGTTCCAGCTGTCGCAGGGGTACAGGTCGGACAGCGTGAGGCCCAGCACACAGAGCGCGTCGTCTGGTTTGCGGCTCTTCAGGAAGGAGAGGACCCCGTCTGAGGGCACAGAGTCGGGGAGACTGGGGCGGCTTCCGGCCCCAGCACCCACCTCCCCACCACCACCGCCAAGAACTTCACCTGACTGCCCACGCTGCAGCACCCCTCTTCCTCTGCCCAGATGGACCGGCCCTGCCTCAAAGTCACAGACCCAAGCCAGTGACAGGGACATTCCTCAAGAGACAATTAGTTGGAGAGACAGGAGCTCACAGCAGCACCTGGGCTTTGCCTCAGGCCGTGGGCGTTGGGCAGGGGTGGAATGCCCTGGGGTCCCTGCTTCCCCAGCTGTACATGGGATGCGCAGTGATTGCCACCAAAGAGGGTGGCCGAGAGGATGTGTGGGACCAAGACCAGAACGCTCACAACATCACACTGGCCACAGAGGGCAAGCGCCCCCTTGATGAGCTCACCCACCAGCACCTGTGCAGCACCCTCTGTGAGCTCAGCAAAGCCCGTGGAGCCCCGTCACCATGCCGACACACACTCAGCAGGCCCCGGCAGCAGCCAGTGAACACCAGCACCTTCCACACACGAACAGACCCTTGGTGGGCACCTCCAGCCTTCCGGGCACACGCCTAGGGGCTGCGTTACAACAGGAAGCAAGCCAGACAGCCTCAGGAACGTGCACTCGAGCTGGGGGCGGAGGGGACCGAAGTGAAGTCTGCAGGATGCCAGGTGGTGACCACTGGGATGGAGAAGCCCAGGCAGGGAAAAGGGGACGGCAGGCCGGAGAGGGTCTGGGTTGTTTTAAATAAGGTGGTTGGGACGACCTCCTGAGAAAGTGACATTTGAGCAAAGATTTGCCAACATGCAGAACCGTGCCAGCCCTCTATTTAAGGGAGAGTCCCAGCAGAGGGCACGCCTACCAGAGAAGCCTTGAGGCAGGGTAGCCTGCCCGCTGGGCGAGCAATGCAGGTGTCAGCACCGTAGCAGGGTGAGCAAGGCACAGAGGAGCTGGCCACGAGGTTGGAGGGAGCCAAGGGGCCTCTGAGCAAGTGTTGCGCACGAGCGCCCACCACTGAGAGCAGACAGGGAGTCCCGCGGGAGAGTGCTGCAGCACAGCCGCGGAGAGATGCGGCCACTGTGCCCTGCTGACGGCAGGTGATGGTGGTGCTGTTAGGTCCCAGCGAGTCGGTTCTGACTCATATTGACCCGCGCACAACAGAAGAAACACGACCCGGTCCTGCCATCCTCACGATCCTCGCTATACCTGAGCCCATCGTTGCCGCCACTGTGTCTGTCCATCTCATTGAGCATCTTCCTTGTTTTCCCTGACCCTCTTCTCTACCAAGTATGGTGTCCTTCTCCAGGAATGGGTTCCTCCTGATGACGGGTCCAAAGTACGAGAGACAGAGTCTCATCATCCTCATTTCTAAGGAGCACTATTACCTCCAAGGCAGATCTGTCATTCTTCTCACCAAGGAAAAATACCCACTGCCATCAATTGGATCCAGACACATAGAGACCCCACAGGAGAGCAGAACTACCCACAGGGTTTCCAAGGCTGTAAATCTGTATGGAAGCAGATGCCTTACCTTTCTCCCATGGAGCTCCTGGTGGATTAGAACCGCTGGCCTTTTGGTTAGCAGCAGAATGCCTTAACCACTGTGCCACTAGAGCGCCTTATTCTTCTGGCAGCCCATGGTATTTTCAGCATTCTTCGCCAACACCACAATTCAAAGGCGTCGATTCTCCAGTCTTCCTCATTCACTGTCCAGCTTTCACATGCATATGAGGCAACTAAAAAGACCATGACTTGGGTCAGGCGCACCTCAGTCTGCAGAGTGACACCTTTACTCTTAAACACTTTAAACAGGTCTTTGCAGCAGATTTGCCCAGTGCAATACGTCATTTGATTTTTCAACTGCTGCTTCCATGGCCATTGATTGTGGATCCAGGTAGAATGAAATCCTGGACAACTTCAGTCTTTTCTCCATTCATCACGATGCTGCTTATTGGTCCAGTTGTGAGGATTTTTGTGTTATGTGGAGGTGTAGTCCACACTGAAGGCTGTAGTCTTTGATCTTCATCGGTAAGTGCTTCAAGTCCTCCTCATTTTCAGCAAGCAAGGTTGTGTCATCTTCATATTTCAGGTTGTTAATGAGTCTTCCTCCAATCCTGCTGCCATGTTCTTCGTCATCTAGTCCAGCCTCTTGGATTATCTGCTCAGAATACAGACTGGGTAAGTCTGGTGAAAGGACAGCTCTGACATGCACCCTCCTGATTTTAAGCCATGCATCATACCCTTGTTCTGTTTGAATGGGTCCCTCTTGGTCTATGTACAGGTTCCTCATGAGCACAATTAATTAATTGTTCTGGACTCCCCATTCTTCTCAACGTTTTCCATAATTTGTTAGGATCCACACAATTGAATGCCCTTGAATAGTCAGTAAAACACAGGTAGACATCTTTCTGGTATTCTTTGCTTTCAGCCAAGATCCATCTGACAGCAGCTATGATATCCCTCGTTCCACGTCCTCTTCTGAATCCAGCCTGAGTTTCTGGAAGTTTCCTGTCAACATCCTGCTGCAACTGGTTTTGAAATACCTTCAGCAAGATTTTACTTGCATATTGATGTTATTGTTTGATAATTTCCACTTTCTGCTGGCTCACCTTTTCTTGGGATGGGCAGAAATACCAGTCTCTTCCAGTTGGTTGGACAGACAACTGTCTTCCAACTTTCCTGGCATACACAAGGAAGGGCCTCCAGAGCTGCGTCCATTTGAAAACATTCCAGTGGGTATCCTGTCAATTCCTGGAGCCCTGGTTTTCACCAATTTCTTCAGTAAAGCTTGAATTTTTTCTTTCAGTACCTTTGGTTCTTGATCATATGCTACTTCCTGAAATGGTTGAACATCGACCAATTCTTTTTGGTACAGTGACACTGTATTCCTTCCATCTTCTTTTGATGCTTCCTGCATCATTCAGTATTTTTCCCATTAAAAAAAAAAAAAAAAAACTCACTGCTGTCAAGTTGAATGTGACTCATAGCAACCCCTCCTTGGGTTTCCAAGGCAGTGTCTCTACAGAGGTAGACGGAGTCCTTCAATATCGCAGCTCAAGGCCTGAAGTTTTCCTTCAGTTCTCTCATCTTGAGAAATGCTCAGTGTGTTCTTCCCTTTTGGTTTTCTAACTCCAGGTCTTTGCACATTTCATTACAATACTTTACTTTGTCTTCTCAGGTTGCCCTTTGAAATCTTCTGTTCAGCTCTTATATTGCATCATTTCTTCCATTCACTTTAGCTTCTCTCTGTTTAAGGGCAAGTGTCAGAGTCTCTTTTGACATCCATTTCGGTCTTTTCTTCCTTTCTTGTTAATGAGTTTTTTAATGACCCTGTGCTTTCTTCATGGATGATGTTCTTGATGTCATCCCACAACTCATCTGGTCTTTGGTCATTAGTGTTCAGTGCATCAAATCTTTGCTTGAGATGGTATCTAAATTCAGGTGGGAAATAACATAAGGTCAGTTTTGGCTCTCATGGACTTGTTTTCATTTTCTTCAGCTTCAACTTGAACCTGCATACCAGGAATTGATGGTCTGTTGCACAGTCTGCCCCAGCCCTATTCTGACTGATGATACTAAGTTTCTCTATCATCTTTTTCCACAGACATAGTCGATGTAATTCCTGTGCATCTCATCTCACAAGGACTATATGTATGGTCACCATTTATGTTGTTTAAAGAAGGTATTTGCAATGAATAAGTCATGGGTCTTACAAAATTCTATCATGCGCTCTCTGGTGTCATTTCTATCACCAAGGCCATATTTTCCAACTACAGATGCTTCTTTGCTTCCAACTTTTGCATTCCAATCACCAGTGATTATCAATACATCTTGATTGCATGTCTAGTCGATTTCAGACTCCCGAACTTAGTAAAAAAATATCCCATTTTTTCATCTTTGGTTTTGGTGGTTGGTATATAGATTTGAGTAATAGCCGTATTAACTGGTTTTCCTCATAGGTATGTGAATATTAACCTATCACTGACAGCATTGTACTTCAGGATAGATCTTGAAATATATTTTTTGATGATGAATGTGACACCATTCCTCTTCAATCTGTCATTCCTGCCATAGTAGACCATATGACTGTCAGATTAAAAATAGCCGATACCAGTCCCTTTCAGCTCATTAACGCCTACAATACTGATCTTTATGCACGCCATTTCATTCCTGATGACCTCCAGTTTTCCAAGATTCACACTTCATATATTCCACATTTCAATTATTAACAAATGTTTGCCAATACAATCTTCTTTTGAGTCATGCCACATCACCAAATGAAGGTCCATAAAGCTTTACTCCATCCACATCATTAAGGTCAACTCTACTTTGAGGAGGCAGCTCTTCCCCAGTCGTCTTTTGAGCGCCTTCCATCCTGGGGGATTCATCCCCTGGCCCTAAAGCAGACAGTGTCCTCTGCTATTCATAAGGTTTTCACTGATGAGGGTTTTAGAAGTGCATTACCAGGTCTTTCTTCCAAGTCTGTCTTAGTCTGGAACTCCCCTGAAACCTGTCCACCATAGCTGACCCTGTTGTTATCTGACACACCAGCCTTACAGCAACACGCAAGCCACCACAGTCCAACAAACTGACAGGCGAGTGGCGGTGACAGCAACAAAGAGGGTAAAACGTGACCCAACTGGGAGGGCAGAGCCAACAGAATTTGCAGGTGGGTTGGTCATGGTGTGTGGAAGAGGGGGGTCGAAGCAACAATGCCTCATGGAATCTAGACTTTCTGGAGCCACAGAGGCTGGATAAACCCCCTAAACTGTTGCGATGAGATAATCCTTAGACCTGAAACCAAAAATATCCCCTAAAGTCTTCCTTAAACCAAACAACAGTTTAGCTCAACCAGTAAACAGTGTCTGCCTTGAGCATCATGCCTTGTTGAAGAACTATCTGTATGGGATGAAGCTGCCAACAGCAACTTAGGTTAGGCAGGAAGCTTAGGGGCAGTGAGTTTCTATTAGTGAGGAAGAGTATTTGGAAAAGGAAGGTGACAGTGGGTGCACAACTTGAATAACACAATCAGTGTCACTGAACGTGCGTGTAGAATTGTTGAACGGCTGACATTCTGCTGTGTACAGTCTGGATGACAAAAAGAATGAAATAAATCATTTAAACAGAAAAGGATGACACAGAAACATGGGAGGATGGAGACAGAGGCGGGAAGAACAAGTGTGGGAAGGGGAGATGAGGTCTGGCTCGGACATGTAGGTCCGAGATGCCCACTGACATCCAAGTGTGGATGCTGAAGAGGCAGCCGGGCCAATGACGTGTGTTCAGGGGAAGGGGCCAGCACAGCCACATGGGACTAGCACCTGTGGGGGAGCTCGACCCCAGAGACGTCCATGTCCCAGTCCCCAAACTCTGGCCTACGGTACCTCCCACGGCTCAGAGGACTCGGCCGATGTGGGTAAGGATTTTGAGACAGGTGATGATCCTGAACTGTCAATGGGCCACAGGGGCTCCACGAGGAGCAGCAGGGTCCCATCAGGGGAGGGGGCCTGAGGACGGCGCAGAGAGGCAGAGGGAGGCCTGCAGACGGGGGAGGGGCCGCGAGCCACGGAACGTGGCTGGCCTCTGGAAAGTAGGAAAGGCAACGGTGTTCATTTCCGGGAGCCACCCTAACCAAGTTCCGCAGACTGAGCGGCTGTAAGTAAGAGAAGCTGCCGGTCCCGGCTCCGGAGGCCGTGCTCCGTCTGAAGGCTCTGGGGAGGAGCGTCCCCGCCCCCTCCAGCCTCGATGCTCGCTGGCGATCTTGGTTCACGGCAGCATCGCTGCAGCGCCTCCCCTCTGTGTGTCTCCGTGTCTCTCCTCTTTACAAGGACACACTCGGATTGGTTCGCACTCGAACATCTCTTTCTGGCAACACATTCAATCGTACTAGTCACCGTGTGAAAGCACGGAGGGGGCGTGGTGTTTGGAGGAGACAGGAGGTGGGAAGGGCTTCCAGGCACCTTAAGGGCCCCCTTGGGTTCACAGTCATGCATCGAGCTATTCTTGTTGTGTTCAGCTGTGTGTGTGGACAGGAAGTTGGATTTAACCAGGTGTGTACCAAGAAACAGTAGGGCTCCAGGAAAGAAGACGAGGGCAAGGTTGCTGAACGTACAGGAAAGGCATGATTCTTATGGTGAACAGGAAATCAAATCCGTTAAGGTGGGAAGTGCGGCCAGCGATGGAGAAGGGGTAGTGAGAAGGGTGTAGGCTCACTGGGCTGTCCCTGGTGGGAAGACAGAAGAGTTAGAGTCAGGGCACTAGAGGGAGGGAAATATTGGAGGGGGTGGCTGTAGACCAGAAGCTTAACTTCTGATGACGGCCTTGATGCAACTGTTGGTGACAAGGTGAGCACAGCGCCATCCAACAGAAACAGAAGGCGAGCCACAGATGAGGTTTTAAACTTTCTAGTAGACACATTAAAAAAAGTAAAAAGTCCCTCAGTGTTCTTCTATTCCCTTCCCTAGGTAAGATGTAAAAACATGAGAAAGATTTAAACTACAGCAAGAAAATTTTAAGTTATGCTTTAAAAATAACTTTCTGAAATAGTCACTAGATTAAAAAAAAAATAAAAAGTAACAGATGAAAGTGATTTTGATGATAATTTTATTTAACCCTATTTTAACATGTAATTAATACTTTTTAAAAAAAAAGTTTTTTTTTTTAATATTCTTTTTCATACTAAGTCTCCAAAGTCTGATGTGTACTTTTCACTACTATACACCTCGCTTTGGATCAGCCACATTTTGTGTGCTCAGCGGCCACACATGGACAGAGGCTGTTGTCCTGGACAGTGCAGGTCTAGGTTATGACCTTGGGAATGAGTGGATGAGATGATGGAGGAGAGGTCCTGGAACTTTCACTATTAAGATGATGAAAGTGATGAGAATGGTGATGGTGATGGTGGTGGTGATACGATGGTGATGGTGGTGGTGATACGATGGTGATGACAGTGGTGATGATGGTGGTGGTAATGGTGGTGGTGGTGATGACTGGTGATAATAGTGATGTGATGATGTTGATGGTGATAATGGTGATGCTAATGATGGTGGTGATGATGATGTTGATAATGAGGTGGGTGATGACAGCAGTGGTGGTGATGGTGGTGGTGATGATGATGATGAGCTAAACAAAACTAATCTGACCACAAGAATTTAGTCCACTAAAACTTCTGGATGCCACTTGCCTTTTGAACCTTCCTGAGCTAGCTCCTTTCCTGTAAGTTGTTGTAACTATGAGAAAGGCATAGGCATGACACTTTCATGCAGGGAGGGTTGGAGGGGCCTCCAGGCCCAGGTTCTGCTTTGGGTGCAGGGTGGTTCTCAGAGTGACCAAATCTGAAGACAAGGACATAGAAAAGGGACTTGCCAGCACCTGGATGGCACCCCTGCCGAGGCCCTATCCACCCTGACAACTCAGTGCCAGCTGCTTCCTCTAATGGCATACTAGGGAATTTCGACCAACCACCCACTGGAAGACAACAGACAGCCAAGAACAAGACAAAGACTAACTCTGTAGAACATCTAAGATGGGAGAGGAGATGGCTACAAGGGACACTAAGGAAATGTTGAGCATGGTCAAATTGTTCTATGTTTTAATTATGGTGGTAGCTGTGTGATGATACATGTTTATTAAAATTCAGAGGACTGTATACCACAGAGGATGAATTGTGCCACATGTAAATTATGCCTTAATAAACCTAACTTAAAATAACCAAAGACCCAATGAGAAAATACAGGGGGAATGTTAGAATAAAGAAGCGAAGCTGAGTTGTTTCTGAGATGGATGAGGCAGGGTGGCCCTAATGACACACCTCTCCCTCTCACTGCTACCTCAAAGGGCTGGGCACTCTGGGAGGGACAGCAGGGCCTGCAGGTCACCAGAGAGACCCAGAGAAGCTTCATGCCTTCATCCCAGATTGGCAATGCCCTCAGGTGCCTGCCTGGCAGACGGAAAGATATGTTCCCTCTGGAGAAAGGTAACATCATCCTGGGCCACAAAGTGCTCATGAAACTTGAAGTAAATCTTCAACTAAAATGTCCAGCTACCAAGTGTGTGTGCAAGACACACAATGAGACCAGAAACTGGGGCCAAAGTAGCAGAAACCAACAAACAGCCACATGGGCACTTCAAAGAGTGAAGTCATCAGGAACAGACGCAGGAAAGCAAGTCTACTATGGATCTAAATGCTGAGCTTACTTACAGCCGGGAACTGGGAACTATAAAAAGTGATGCTGTTAACTTGTAAAAGAATTTGCTAGGAAGGATAGAACTGAAAAAGACAATGGGAAGGAGGAGCTTAGTGTGTGGACTTAATAGCACACTGTGGTTGTTGGGTGCTGTCAAGCCATCTGCACTCAGCAACTCCACGTGACAGAATAGAACTGCCCCACGGTCTTTCTCCTACAGAGCTGCTGGGCAGGTTCGAACCGCGGCTAAGCACGTAACTGCTGCACCACCAGGGCTCCTATAGCATGTTGTTGTTGTTATGTGCTGTCGAGTTGGACCCGACTCATAGTGACCCCTCCTTGGGTTTCCGAGGCAGTATCGCTACGCAAGTAGATTGCCCCATCTTCCTTCCGAGGAGTGGCTGGTCGGTTTCAACCACCAGCCTTCTGGTTAGCAATCAAGTGCCTTAGGCACATTAGATACAACTTAAGAGAGAATTAATAAACTGGAGAATGAGAATAAAGCATGGGTGGTAAAAAAAAAAAAAAGATGAAAAACACAGAGAGAGAGAGGAAGAAGGAGAGGGAGGAGGAGGAGAGCCAGAAGAAGGGATATGAACGATGCACAGTCTCAGGAGAGGAGGGAGGAGGGGACAGAGGCAGTCCATGAAGGAAGAGATGACGACAGAGAACTCCCCAGAACTGATGAAAGACATCGATCCACTCATGCCACACCCAGCAACAGTCAAACACAGATGGATGCTTGGCTCCTTCTCGGAGACCTCCTTAAATTTGAATCTCGTTCCTCTGCATGTCTGAGATTCTCCTCTTAATCTCTGCCTCATCCAGCCTCGCTTCTCCAGCTGCCAGGCACCCTGAGGAACGGTAGGCTGGGTCTTCTAGACACATCTAGAGTGTTTTGCAGAGACAAAAGCCTGGGCAATGCTGTGTAGCCATTAAAGGCCTGACTTCACCTGCTTTGCCTGCTCCAGAGTTTTTTAGTGGACAGTGGGCTCTACGGTCAAGTCTCCTCCGTTCTGGAAGATGAAGGGCTCCTTGATTCAGTAGTCCTTCTTTTTAGAAGGCTGGAAAACAGGTGCTCCCTCCCCACAGAAAAAGGATCAACCTTGTGATGGTCAGTGCTATGTGTCAACATGGTGAGCTGCTCAGTGGTTTGGCAGACACTGGACTGGTTGCTCCTCCAGAATGTAATACAATGTAATCATCTTCATGATGTGATTATGATGTGAGCAGCCAATCAGCTGAAAAGGGTGCTTCCTTGGGGGTGTGGTTTGCCTCCAGTATATAAACAGATGTTCTGGCAAAGCCTGCTTTCTCTCTCAATCCTGTGCTCTCCTCATGGCCTGACCCCCGGTTCCTGGGACAAAAGCCAGCAGAGGCCTCCAGCCTGCCTCCTGACTTGCAGATCTGGGATCTGCCAGCCCCCACAACTGCATGTGCCACTTCCTTGCAGTACACCTCTCTCTATATATACACACATCTCATCGGTTTTGTTCCCTTAGAGAACCCAGACTGAGAAAGCCCTCTTGAGACCCGTCTGGAAAGGGGCTATTTCCAGTGAGGAAGATCCACCCTGCCTTCACCTGACGGCACACTTGGCTTACGCACCTGTGTGGAACTGGAGCCGGTCTGAGTCCCGCCTGGGGCGTGAGAAGCAGTGGATGGACGTGGCTGCCACCGAGGGGAGGCACTTGACCCTCAGGCCCAGGAAGAAGGCCTCAGTGCAGCTCCGCACACTGTCCAGCAGGGGCCGTCCCACTGGCCCCTCGCTCAGATCTGTGGGCAAAGCACCACTGTGGGCCTGCTGGGCCCTCAGCCACCCACCCACCCATGGAGACCACTGCCTGCCTGGACCCTCCCCCAGGGGGCGCTGGTCTGCAGGGGTTCAGGACAGCCTGAACATGCATGGACACAGGGCCCCTGGCCAGCAGCACTGGCCACACCTGGGAGTGAGGTAAAATACAGACTCCAAGGCCCTGCCCCATATCCCTGAACCCAAACCTACAGAACCAGAAGCCTGAGGGCCACATGCGTGGGGCTGTGCAGCCAGCAGGGCAATGTGGGCCCCCAGGAGGCAGGTCTGCAGGCGGAGACACAGGCCATGGGGTCTTGAGCAGGAGCGGGAGGGGTGCCCAGGACTCGGACCCCAGGGGTGGGACATGGCTGGGGAGGCAGGGAACCAGTGAATGCCCTCAGCTGTGCTCTGCCATCGCCGCTGGCCTGAAGGGAACTTTCTGGAATCTCTCTCAGGCAGAAGTTGAGCCTCTCTGGAGCCAGCACTGCAGACGCCACCCGGCCCTTTCTGCCAGGCTTGCACCACCCATCCTTGGCGTGCCAGGGACATGGTGGCCAGTACAGCCCTCATCCTCCCAGCACCTGGCCCGCAGGCTCCATGGAGAACCTGGCCAAGCTGCTCCCTTCTGGAAGCAGGTACCCCAGTCAAGCTAGAACCTCTCACACCTGGGTCCCCACAGCCTCAGGGGTCAGTGACCATGCTGGAACTCTGGGTGCCCCTCTAGGCCAGGCCCAGCCTCTTGCAGTGAGCCTCAGGGTTAAAGAGACCCATGTTCAAATCCTGGCTCTACCTGTCTCCACCAATTATAGCTCCATGACTGACAGGTCAAGCCACTGCTCCCAGCTTCAGTTCCCCCAACTATAAAATGGGCTGGACCCAACTCCAGCACCACACAGAGGAAGGGATCGTCCTGTGGCTGTGAGGCTACAGGCCTAGACGGGCAGCGCCTGGGCCTGCCGCTGCCACTGTGACCAATTCCCAGTCTGGATTTCAGGACACAGTGAGAGAGAGAGAGTGGAGAGCTTAGTGTGGTGCCAGGCTGCCCTGCCACCGTTCCTGGATCTCAGACACGCCCATGTCAGCCCTGGGGGACCCACACATGCGCCTACCCCCACCTTGTGCTAAACAGAGGCCCTCATCCCCTCCAGGAGGGTCCTATGACTCCAGGGCACCTCTTAGTTCACTGCCCACATGGGCCACTGTGGGAAGTAGACTTCACGGCCCTGGCCCCACCTGGTACCCGGCCCCACCTGGTACCTATGGGCTGCAGGTAGATGTGCTTCCGGCCCGGGCTTGGCTTCCGGCGCAGCAGGGACTGGTAGAAGGTCTGGAAGTCCTCGGGGGCCTCGGGGCGGCTCAGGAGCCAGTCGGAGGCTGTGTGGATCCGCAGGGAACAGAAGAGGGTCCCCTGGGGATTGTAGGCCTCAGCGAGGAACAGCCGCTCTGCCGGGGAGAAGACTGTGGCATAGAGCTGCCGCAGGGCCGTGTCGGTGGACACTAGGGCATCCTTCAGGGTGCGGGGGCCGAAGCTGAACTCCTGGGCGGGCCTACACTGTAGCATGACCGCTCCCAGGAGCCCTTGTGCTGTCCATCAGCCGTCCAGGGACCAGCCACCGTGTCTTCCAGAACCTTCCCTGGGGCTGCTCCCCACAGATGGAGCCTGGGTGAGGGGGCCACGCAGCTGGACCTCGTCAGCAGCAGCACAGGGTGGCATGGACACCCCGAGGCCCGTCGGCACCCTGCAGTGGGGGGGGGGGGACACACAGGACATCATATCACCTTGGTAGCAATCAGCTTCCACTCGGACTTCACGCCCGTTTCTGCCCAGAAACAGCAGACTGAGACATGCTCTTGAATGTGGTGTTCTGGGAGACATCACATGGAGGAGGCGGGCCCCTGGAGCTTGCTGGATGTCATGGAGTGAACTGTGTTCCCAAAAAACTACGTGTTGTAAATCCTAACCCCCATACCTAGAATAAGGGCCCACAGTTGGAAAACACAGCCTTGGTGATAGAAACGACATTGGCGATCACATGGCAGAATTCTGCAAGACGGACTTAGTCACCAGAAACATCTCTTTTCAACAACATAAATGGCGACTGTACCCATGGACCTCGCCAGACAGAATCGGATCGACTGCAAATGTGGGAAGAGATGATGGAGAAGCTCAATATCATCGGTCAGAACAAGGCCAGGGACCCCAAACAGACCGTCAGGTGCTCATGCACAAGTTCCAGTGGAAGACGATGAAAGCAAGGCCACGAGAGCCAGAGTACGACTCTGAGTCTGTCCCACCTGAATGTAGTGGCCACCTCAGGACCAGATCTGACACATCCAGCACAATGCCCGAAGGCCAGATGACCTGTGGAATGACATCGTGGAGAAAGCAAAAGGTCATTAAGGAGACAGGAAAGAAAGAAAGACCAAAACGGCTGTCAGAAGAGACTCGGAAAGTTGCTTTTCAATGTGAAGTAGCTAAAGCAAGTGGAAGAAATGATGAAGTAAAAGCTGAACAGAAGATTTCAAAGAGCAGCTCGAGCAGACAAAGCCAGTTACCATAATGAAATGTGCGAAGACCTGGAGTTTGAAAACCAAAAGGGAAGAACATGCTTGGCATTTCTCAAGCTGAAAGAACTGACCAAAAACTCAAGCCTAGAGGTGTAACGCAGGATTCGATGGCTAAAATACTGAATGATGCAGGAAGTACCGAGGGGAGCTGGGAGGAATGCACAGAGTCACTGTACCAAACAGAACTGGTCGAGGTCCCACCGTTTCAGGAGGTGGCACAGGATGCAGAGCTGAGGGTACGGAGGGGAGAAGTCCGAGCCGCACTGAGGGCGCTGGCGGAGGACGGGAGCGGGTGGGCCACCCACAGCCATGGTCAACGAACAGGTGTAGCACTGGAGACTTTCACTCGTTTATGCTAAGCAATTTGGAAGACAGCTCCTGGCCGTCCTGGAAGAGATCCGTATTTGTGCCCATTCCAAAGAAAAAATGATCCAACAGAATGCAGAAATTATCAAATACTATCATTACTATCACGAGCAAGTAAAGTTTTGCTGAAGATGATTCAAAAACAGTTGCAGCAGTACATGGACAGAGAAGGTCCAGAAACGCAAGCTGGATTCGGAAGATGTGGAATGGGGGTGCCATTGCCGACGTCAGGTGGGTCCTGCCGGAAGCAGAGAATCCCAGAAAGACGTCTACCCGTGTTCTGTTGACCATGCAAAGGCATTTGACTGCATGGATCCTAAGACATTACGGATGACGCTACAAAGCAAGGCAGCAGGTAGGGTTGGGGTTCCCGGATCAGAAGGTAAAAACAGGAGGGAAGGCAAAGTAGTGGCCAGAGATAAAAAGATACAGGTAACAATGAGAATTTGGGGGTCAGCAGCATTTAGAAAGTCAGTTAGACACCCTAAAACCCCCTTCCCTGCAGAGCAACAAGTCATGGGGCTCCCAGTCCTCGTTTCTGGTGGCAAAAGCAGAGACAGCCCCGTTTGGGGGTGAGCCGTGAAGGGAGCAGCACCATCCTCGTTGAACACCCAGTGTACCGCCGAGCTGCCTGTGACCCACAGCTACCCCGCGTGCGTCAGAGCAGCACTGTGCTCTGGGGTTTGCAGTGGCTGTTGTTTCCGAAACAGGTCACCAGACCTTCCTTCTGAGGAGGCTCTGGATGGATGTGAACCTGCAGCCTTTCAGCCAGCAGCCGAGTGTGTTCACTGTTTGTACTGCCCAGGGCCCCTGTGCTATTCATAGACAGGAGGACTCGATACAGTTAAGACTAGAAGGGGGCCTGGGCAGAGCGGGCACAGCACAATGGTCCCATTGGATACACTGGGTTAAAGGGACAGCAAGGAGGCCAGTGTGGCAGGAATGGAGTCAGGAGGGGACAGAAGAGGACAAGGTCAGCGGGAAGCAAGGCCATTCAGCAGCACTGGAAGGCAGTTAAGAGCTCTGGCCTTTACCCTGAGCCAGATGAGGGAGGACACACTAGCTTTGGGCAGAGGGATGGTGTGAGCTGTGTGCATGCATGTGTGTAATTGTGTATGCACACATCTGTGTGCATGTGTGTCCTTATGTGTGTATACATTTGTGGGCATGTGCATGCATGTGTGTGATTTTTTGCACATACATCCATGTGCATTTGCATGCGTTCATGCACATGCATGCATACACGCATGTGTGTTTTCTGTATGCAGATATGTGTATTGTGGATGCATGTGCAGATGTATGCATGTATGTTTCTGTACATGCATAGGTGTGCATGTATGTGGACATACATTCAGGTGCATATGCATGCATATGTGTGTACACATGTATCTGAATACATGCACATGTGTTTGTATGTGCATATATGCACATGCATGTGTGTGCTTATGTGTGTATAAATCTGCAGGCATATGTGTATATGTTTGCACACTTGTATGTGCACATGTGTGTCCTTATGTGTGTTCATTCGTGGGCATGCATGTGCATGTGTTCGTGTGTGCATACATTCATGTGCATGGGTATGCATGTGTATGTGCATGCATGTGCATGTGAGTGTGTGAGAACTTGTACGCATGTGTACATGCACATGCATGTGTTGCCAGCAGGGCTCCAGGAAGCCTGTGTGCTCCCTAGGCTGAGGTCAGGTGTCACAAGGTGTGGAGGCAAGAGTGCTCCCTGGACCATAAGCTCCTGGTTGAAGCCCTCTCCTAGAGGCTGGACACAGAAAGGCCTCTCAAAGACCCTTGAGGACAGAATGCCCTGAAAAGCTGCCAAGAGCACTTTGGGGTCCAAAACCTTGTGCGAACCTCACAACCATTCTGAGACATGTGGTTGCTGCTAGCTGCCATGTGTGGCCCAGACTGATAGCTACACCATGCACAATGGAAGGAAGTGCTGCCTGCTCAGAGATACAAGTGACTCGGCCAAGGTCACGCAGCAGAGAGCAGCAGGGCCGGGTTCTAAAGCCATGAAGACTCACACTGGAACCCAGACTCTTAACCTGCTGATGGTCCCCAGAAGCAAAGAAGCCTTCACCCTGGGCGGCAGTCGACTCTCAGCAGAATGCCTGCCCTCCCACTCTCCCTGCCTGTCGCTGGGGCCAAGTGTGGCAGCTTCCCTTTCTCTGTAGGACTCTTCTCCCCCAGCCTCCCGGCCGCCGCTCACTGCAAAGGCGGCTGCCTCCTCCCCGATTGGCCAGGTCATCCAGGTCAGGGTGAGAAAGCGCCTGGCCCGGAGTTCTCCGCCGTCTGACCAGACAGAGCCCGGCCATCTGAGTAGACAGAGCCCCGCTTCTGGACGAGGAATCAGGCTCTGATTGTTTGCATCCTGAATGAGCTTTGCAAAATGCCCCAGCAGCTGCATCAAGCTATTCACTCGCTGTGCTCAGCCTCACCCAAGGCTCTGCGCGCTGCCCCAGCAGAAAGGGGCCGTGGTTTGGGGTTTCACACCTGTAGGAGGGTTCCGTTTGCTAGCAGGGGAACAGAGGGGTAGACTACGGGTGCAGGGTTCAGGGCCAGAATCCTTGGCTTCCTGCGGCACCTTCCCTCGCTCAGCCTGTCTGCCCCTGAACAGAAAGCCGAACGCTCACCCTCGCTCCGACCCTAACAGCCACTGTAAGTTCCCCTCTCGGCGTGGCCGAGACTCTGCCTTACTTTCCGGGGTGTCCGCGCCGGGGAACACCTGGGGCGCACGTCCGCGCCTCGGGGAGCTCCGGAGATGCCCCGCCTCGTGCCCCCGGGGGACACCCGCCCCGTCTGGGGTCTCGGCTGGGCGCTCCGGGCCGCTCCGTCTCCTCGCAGACGGCCTCGCGGGGCAGCAGGACCAGGCATGCGGACCGCGCCCCCGCCTCGTCCGGGTCCGGGTCAAGGGGGCCCAGCCCCTGGCTCCCCGGCCCCTGCGGCCGCGCGGAAACGCCGTTCCTGGGAACGCGCCGCTGCCCCCCAACTGCCCCGCCTCCAGCCCGAGGGCCGCTGGCGGGTCGGCCGGCGCCTCCGCGGTCCCTGCGCGCAGCCGCCGCCCGGCCGTCCTCGAAGCTTCTCAGCCTCGGGGCGCCGCCAGGAC